TTTAATCTAATTACATACAAACAACAATATTGCCACAAATCACTAATTTGACGCTATTTATAACTTTCATTCTTTTTCCTCTTAATCTAGTTTAATGAAATATAAGCTAATAATCTAACAATAAATGACAAACATCTGACAATTAGTGATAAACAAAAATATAAAATTAACAACAGAACATAACACCAACAATTAGTGATAAACTAACATGACGAGATAAACTTTAAAATATGGCAAATATATTACTATTACTCAAATTTACCGAGACAAGACGTGAAAGCAAAGAACACACTGAGCCAACAAAAATAACATGAATACTCACGTTTAACAGCAACGTCGAGTTTCAACATCTCGAACTCGCCAAAAANTGAGGGAGTTGGTGTCGTCGGTGGCTTTGGACGATGCAACAGTTCTACTGCTTGACGGGTGGTTGGGTTCAAGCGTTGGGGGGGGAAGCTGGTGGTTATGGTCGCCGGTGGTTCAGATGTTGGGAGGTTGCGGACGGTTTGGGTTAGGGTCTTGCTAGGGTTTTTCTAGGTTCTCCTTCAGGAAGAAGGAGATGAACAGTGATAGTTCTTTTTAAAAAATTTCCAAAAGTCCTCCCTTCCAAATGTTTTTGCCCGTGCATTTGTGAACTTCTGCCAAGAAAAATGAGCCCCACGCGTGGTGGGGTTCGAGACTTGTGTCCCCCACGCGTGGTGGGGTTCCCCGTGTATCGTGTTTCGTCTGTGTTCCCCACGCGTGTCCCCCATGTGTGGTGGACTCGAATTATTATGGGCTAGGTCCGAAAATTAGACTAATTATTTAAAACAAAACTATATTATTATTTTCTTAATATTTTTCGAGATTAAAATAGCTACAAAAATATTAACAAAACTATTTTTTGTAATTTTCGTTTTTATATAAAGATAAAATATAAAGTAATATTTTTGTATTTTTTCAAAAAATTAAAATGACTACAAAACATTAATAGGACTATATTTTTTGGTAATTTTCGAAATTATATAAAGTAAAAAATAAGGTACTATTTTTTGTAATTTTCGAATTTATATAAAGTACCAAAATAGAGTACAATTTTTATATTTTTCCAAGTTTATGAGAAATACATAAACTAAAATTTATATATATATATTTGTAATTTTTCTTTTTGCAACGAAATAAAGTAAAATAGTCAAAATAACTATATTAGACCTAAATTCACATATTCACGCTAAAAATGTGAAAATTCTCGGGGAGGGTCAAAAATCAGGTGTCTACATAAGGTAGGTTATTGTTAAGACACAATCACCCCAAAACTTGGTGGGAAGTTTGGATTGAAACAATAAAGCTCTTGAAGTTTCAAGAAGATACTTGTGTTTTCTCTCTACCACCCCATTCTATTGTGGGGTGTGAGGAAAGGTGGTTTGAATATTTGATGAATGATCCCAGTTTCAGAGAAGAATTGAAGGGTTGAATTAGAAGAGTCAAGTTCTAAGGCATTGTCACACCTAATGACTTTTATGGGAAGTTGAAATTGGGTTTTGACCATTGCTATAAATGCCTTAATTAAGGGGAAGGCATAACTTTTGGAGTGCAACATTTGCGTCCAAGTTGCGCTGCTGTAATCATCAACTATATTCAAAAATATCTTACCCCAGAATAGGATTAGTATGGTAAGGTCCCCAGGTATTTACATGTATAAGTTGAAACAAAGCAGTAGAGTGAGGAGAGCTATTTGGAAAGGACAATTTATATTGTCTTGCTAAAGGACAAATAGGACAAATGAAAGATTACTTTGCTGATAAACTAGAGGAGATAGAAGATATATTTTTTATTTGTATAAAAGGAACACGACCCAATCTGTGATGCCAAAGAACATCATTTTTATTTATATATTGATGACTATTACAAGGTGGTAATGAAACAGGATTATGAAGAGAATCCAGGACATCTATATTTGTATTCAATGGAAAATCATTTACTTTTGCTTTGGTATTAAAGCTAGAAACATGTGAATCAGAAACAACAGGAGTAGACTGTTTAATACTGTCCATGACATTATGAGAAATAGATGCGGAGTTATCAAAATTATCAGTAGTGAGGTATGCAGGAAAAGCATATTGGTTGAAGTAGAATTTGTATAGTCCATAGTCCATTCTACCAAGCTCTAGAAGCTTCGTCTTAAAATGGGCCTGTAGAAGTATACAAGAATAGGATGTGAATAAAACACAACATTTGAATTGAGCAATCAGTTTACTTACTGAAATTAAGTTGTAGTGAAAAGTAGGCATGTATAAAACATGATAAAGAGTAAGGCAAGGTGACAGAGTAAGGGATCCAGTACATGTGACTTTTACTTTGTAACCATTAGGCAAAGAGACTAGACAAGGAATAGGAAGAGGAAATGTTGAAAAGAAGGGTTTTATTTGAAGTCATATGGTCAGTGGCTCCATAATCCACTATCCATATCCTTCCAGCTACACTAGTTAACATGCGTACATTAGAATTACTATTCAAACACACAGGCAAGGAAGAGGAACTACCAGCAAAATTTGCAGATACTATAGTGGCAGGTTGAGATGATGATTCATTAAGACCAGATTGCTGAAGTAGACTCATCAACTGAGTATATTGATCTATAGTTAAACCAGGTACCAGTGAATCCTCAGCGTAAGAAGGAATATGATCAGGAATCCCAGAAGACTGCCCTTCAACATTAGCAACAATACCAAACCTTTTACCCTCTGTGAACTTGAAATTCTAGGAAAACCATGCCATTTATAGAATTTTTCAATTGTATGACCAAACTTCTTGCAGTACTTGCAAAACAGTGAAGCCTTGTTGTGATCAGAATTGAATCTCTGACTAGGTTGATCAAATTTTAGTTTATGTAGATATTGTTACTGAGGTGAGAATTTAGAGGAAACTTATTGTATTCAGAATAATCTTGTGCATTTGGAAGGACTTATCTCTGTTTTTCATCTTGGAGCAATATATTTTGGACATTATCAAGAGATGGCAATGGGTGCATCATTAGGATATTGCTTCTAACTCCTATATAAATTTCATTTAGACCCATTAGAAATTGATGAATCTTATCTTCTTCCTTTTCTTTTTGGAGGCCTTCTTTAGCAGCATAAGCACAAGCACAAGTACTAGCATGACTGCTACTAGGAGTAGCAAACGGACGGGCCGGGTTGAATATGGTTGGGGTAAAAAACGGGTAATGAAAAAATAGATCAATTATCCGACCTGACCCATATTTAATATGAATAAAAAATAGATTAACCGACAGATAATATGGGTAACCATATTATCCATGACTTCTTGCATATGATCACTTTTGGGAGAATTCTTAGTCTCCTTAACTTGAGGAACCCCCAATTTGAGGCTTTACAAATATAAAATTTAGATCCATTGGTTATCCATTTTCTAAATGGATAATATAGTTTTTATCATATTTGACCCGTTTTTAAAAAGTTCATTATCCAACCCATTTTTAGTGAATAATATGGGTGGTTAACTGTTTTCTTTTAATAATTTTGTCACCCCTAACTGCTACACATGATCTCCAGCTCATCCCAAAGTTTCTTAAGTTTTTAAAGTAGGAGGCAACATCTAGGTATCCCTGGTAAGTGGAAGAAAGTTCTTTTTTAATCTCAAAGACTTTGGTACTACTAACAGTCATATATCTATAATTGCTTCCAAATACTCTCAGTTGTTTCTGAATATTTTACACTCTCAGCAATGTCCGGGGACAAGGAATTGGTTAACCATGATATAACCATGTTGTTACATCAATCTCATTGCCTATACTAAGAAGAGGTCTCAACAGGTTTAGTGCATAAACCATCTATAAAACCTATTTTATTTTTAGCAGATAGAGAAACTATCATATTACGCTTCCAACCCCCTAAACCTGTCCCAGAGAAGTACATTAACAAGAGATACGCTGAGGACATCGGAAGGAAGTAGGAATAAGGGACTAGTAGGTTCAGGAACGTAAGGAGCAGTATTTGAACTAGAATCACCTATGATTTTCAGAAAGTTTCTAAAAAAAACTAATTTCTAACAACATACAATCACCTAACACAACAAAATCAATAGATAGTGTAGAGAAATAAAAAGAGTGTACCAAACTTCTTCGCGACCTGAAGAAGTAAAAAGGCCTTGAAGATTACTCAGATCTGAAACCCTAGCTTCGAAGAAAACCTCCAAAAATTCCGATGAATGGGTGAATCATAAGAATCTCCTAGAAATTAATGACGCTCCAAGCTAATCGAGCAGAAAAATCAGTAGAACAAACAAAACCAGAAGAAAACTCTGATCGCGAGACTGGCAAAAACAGATGAGACATTCCGGTGACAAAGGAACTAAATTGGCGAGGGGTAACACCGCTGAGAGTAGAAGATGAGGATCAACGATTTCATGGCTCTGATACCATGTTAAACTCAGAGATTAATCGGATTTGATGAAGCCATGGTTAGGATTTTTAGAGAGAAGTGAGAGCAAAAACGAATGAGAGAATCTGTATATTGGAAATTATGCCAAAAGTTGTCTAGAAAGTTTTCTAAAGCCTATTTATAGAGTGGGCCTATTATTACAAATAATACAAAACTGGATCAAAATAAATAAAGAGAATGGGCCTATGACCCAACTAGCTAAATTATCTGAAGCCCGAGATGTCCAATTATCATGTAACTCCAATAGAATTTGAATGCACATATGAATATTAATATATATATATATATATATATATATTATAATAAAGAATGTAAAAGGAGCTGCTAAAAGAGAACCGGCAATGCACCTGTCCAACAGAAGAAAGAAGAAAGGCAAGAAGATTCAATAACCAATTTAATAGAGCCAAATTTAAGGTACAATTCAGATAAAGTTTTGTACAACTTCTAATTACTGTGTTCGCACCCCTTAACCATTTATACATTATATATTCATAATTTCCCAAATACTCTCCTCTTTGTAGTGACACGCGTTTCTAAAATTTGAATTGTGTGAAACAACTAGATTCCACCTTCTCCTCTCTACTGATTTTCAACTTCCACACCCATTTCCATTTGTGTCATTTTTCCTTCTTCAGACCATTCATTTCTCTCTCTTTCTTGGTATGTTCCTTTCCTCTGTTTTTTCTTATTTCTCTCTATTCTGGACTACCTCACATACATGATATTTGCTTTATATTCTCTCTTTGTTCATTTGTGATTACAGGTTTGGAGTTGCAATATTTGCTACTTCTTATTCTCTGTGCATGAAGATTATACTTCTGAGAATCAATTCATGTGTAAGGAGCCTTATGTATAAAGAGAAATTGTTTAATTTTCAGAGCCAGAACAATGAGCAGCCCAATCAGGAGAAAGAGTTAGTTTCAAGTTTTTCCAATTCTCAAGCCCTTGGGGTGCATTCCACATTCTTTTCAGACCCTTTAAGTTTTGAATATATTTTTTTTAAACGAAAATTTTAGTGTCTGTTTTTGTTTCTGTAATGATGTCAGTTGCTGATTTTGATACTTTATTTGTATTGAGCAGTTCTTCTTTGGTAAATACTTCAGCTTTAGTAATGAGATACAAATTTTTAAAAATACTTCACCTCTAGATTCAATTTCTGTAACTGACTTGACTTTCTTATATTTTGCTTATGTATCAACTTGGTGCACACTGAGGTCTGAGGTTTCCAATATTTTTTAGTTCTATCCCTCAATATTGAATTGCCTAACATTATCAATTTTGTGAAGGCGATTGTCAAGGAAATAATGTGCTTTCTCTTTATTTTTGATTTATGGCTGTATAGATGTGTCCCATTTATCAATTATTGAAGGCGATTGTCAAGAAAATTGAATTAGGATACTTTAAGTTGTCGTAGGCATCATAGAAACTTATATGATACAAATTACAACTGAATTTACCTATGATTTTCTCACTCTGGATTAACGTTGCTTGGTTCTTTTATTGTGATTTTGCTCAAGTATATCTGTATTTGGTACATGGTTTAGGTTATTTTGGGAGAATATTTGGGAGCAGCGGATGATTGTGAATTGGAGATCATGAACAGGTTTTTCCACGCATGACCATGTACTGCCTTTGATCATTGTGTGAAAATTATATTGTACTTAGTTTAGTTACTCGCATCCATTATTAACCTTTGAAGTCGATCACCTCTGTTGGATAGGAGAACCCTTGAGATATGCACTTGTTCAGTATCATTTTGAATCAAGAAATTAATGAGAAGACAATCGATCCAGGTACCTTCCATTTCATTGTTTCAGGAAATTACATTACATTTGTTTTAGTTACATAGAAATTAAATCATAACCGTGAAAGACAAAACAAATTCCAAGTATTGTTTTGAGGTGATAACTAACAATATCACTTTAAAAACTATCAAGTACAAATTATTTCTTAGGAGATGTTTTTCAACAAGCATTGCTGAGAAATTTCTTCAGAAAAGTTTCCAAGAAACTATTCAAATACTATTAAGGTTTACTGGTTAAAAGTGATAATCGTTATAACTGATAGTGCATGACAAGATGTTTTAAATTCTTGAAAAGGAAGAGAGATGAAAATAATAGTTTTTGGTTCCATATAGCTGTTCTCACGCCACGAAATGAGCTCGATGTTTCAACCCTGCAGGAGCATTATTGTAAACTTTATCATCTATAATTTTTCAATATTCCATTTGGATAACAACAGATAAATTTAAGGTCAAAAGAGTTCTTTATTATTAATTGATATCAAATTAATACTTGCACATCTATTAGTAATGTTGCAGATCAACAAAATATAACAAGTTTGGTTTTTGGACATATTTCAGTACATGAGCAAAATATATAACCATTGCGAAGACTTTTATATACATCATTGTGCATGTATAATAGGATATTTTTATCTATAATATATGCAAAAGACAGAAGTCCAAATATTTGAAGTTAGATTCTTCTTTACTCAAATAGATTTAATGACTTGGTAACATGTGTAGTAATTACTCTCCCTGTTTGGCTTATACGGACGAAGTTGAAAAGCTAGAAGCTTTTTATCATATCAAGATTTGCCAAAACAATAGATAATTTTGATTCCGTTATCATTTTTCTGCATCTTAAATATTGACAAGAAAAAATCACACCAAATTCATCAAATTGCTCCTTGTGATAGCAAACCACAGCAGCTAGGATTACAATATGCAACAAGCACCTATAGTGCTCAAGAGTCCTTCAGTAAATTTGTTCTCTTGCGATCAACGGTTGGCATTCAGTAAAATCATGAGTACAAATGCAGAAAAGGAGAAGTCTACTCCACGGTGGAGCTTAATTTGTTTGCTCTCTAAAGTTGTGTAATTTTTATACTGCATATACAAATTGTACTAGCCAGGGGGATCCACCAACTTTTTGAAAAAATAAGTGGGAGTTGCTGAGCCAAGAAACCTTATAAGGAATTTTGAGATCTTTGTAAAAATCTGTAGGAAAGCAAGAGAGAGACACCGACTACTTTGGTCTGTGCATTTTAATATGTGCAACATGCATAACTTCTAAAGATTTGCTTAAGTTTTGTAAAACTCAAGTTTGTACGTTGATTCCAAAATAATTGTATGTTACCTTAAATAAGTGAAATTTGATTATTATTATTATTATTATTATTATTATTATTGTTATTATTATTATTACATAAATTTTCTGATCTTAGTTGGCTGTCCAACAAAGTTGTGTTAAGAAGCATCGAGCTAAATTGCCCAAAATTACTTCCACTCCTGTTAGGCCCATGTATTTGCACGGGCAACCTTTCTAGTATATATATATATATATATATTTGAGGCGTTTTCATATATATACCATATATGAAACTATATTATCAAATATGTTCATAGTTTGCTTATTACCCTTCATGTTAATGGTATTCTACCTAATATATACAATGCATTAAATAAGGAATCACCGTAGCTTTATGATTCTTTATTTTGCGCGCTAAAAAGGAGAATTAAATTTCCAGATCTTCCCCAACGCAAATCACGCACATTCCATAATTATCGTCGGTTTCATTCTGATCTCCACAACGCAGAACAAGATTTTCCATACTCTGTTTTTGTGATACACTCTGTTTCCATAAATTCTCTCTACATCTCTCTCTATTTCTCAATCGCAAATTTCAGTAATACAAAGCAAATGAAAAGAGAGCAGCAATTCCACCATTGACAACCATTAAAAAGCTTGAAAGCTTTGAATTCAAATTTGGATTTTCAAACATCATTATTTGTTTGGATTGGATGTTGTTGAAAATAATCGGGAATATGGTTTGGAGTTTATATCTCAATTTTGAGGGGTTTTGGTGAAGATTAGACTTGGTTTTGACTGAATTTCAGATTGAAACTCAAAGAAGATGAAGAAGAAGACATATTGCAGAAATTGTAGATTATTTGTATTCTGATTGTAGATGCTTTATTTTCTGTTTTCACAAATAAAAACTTCTACAAATCTTCTGAAAAAACAAAATTATGTCAAAAATCCCAATTATGCTACAATTGAATGGGAATTGGGATATTAAAATTCAGTGTACCTAGTTTGTAGATATTTTGTAGATAAATTGTAGATTATTTGTATTCTGATTGTAGATGCTTTATTTTCTGTTTTCACAAATAAAAAACGACTAAAACTTCTACAAAATCTTCTGCAAAAAACGCAATTATGTCGAAAATAACAATTACGCTACAATTGAATGGGAATTGGGATATTAAAATTCAGTGTACCTAGTTTGTAGATATTTTGTAGATAAATTGTAGATTATTTGTATTCTGATTGTAGATGCTTTTTTTTCTGTTTTCACAAATAAAAAACGACTAAAACTTCTACAAATCTTCTGCAAAAAACGGTCTACAATTTAGTATAAATGTAGTAATTATGTAGATACCCTTACAAATAATACTGCTTTATACATACTTAAACTGATTTGTTGTATATTTGTAGAATTTTTGTAGAAAATATACTGAAAGATATGTTCTTTCAGTATATATCTAGCATAATCTCTGTTGCTAATTGATTCTGTTTTCATCTTATCTCTAACTGGAATGGTTATGATGGATGTTTGAAGTTAAGGTAAGATTTTCAGTTAATATTACCGAACATTCCCAAGAAATGCAATATTTATTCACCAAAAGTTGCTACTGATTTTCCATCACAACTAATAGCATCATCTGGAATATATGGAAGAACCAAAAGCAATATTTTGGATTAGGCTTCAACGAGAAACTTATTGCATCGAAGAATGAATATTGGAGGAATCTGCATCCAAGAATGCCTGGATTAAGCACTTCAAATCCTGTTCTCATATAAACAAAGAAGAATTTTCAGATTCCTTTAATTAAGGAGTAAAACAACAACAACAACAACAACGACCCAGTATAATCCCACAAGTGGGGTCTGGGGAGGGTAATATGTACGCAGACCTTACCCCTACCCCGAAGGGTAGAGAGGCTGTTTCCAGGAGACCCTCGGCTCAAAAAAGCAGCAGGAGATGATATATTAGTACCATAAAAATGCGTAATAAAAATAACAACAGTATATAAGAGATATGAAATAAGAAATACATGATACGAAATACGAATTACGAAATAGATGGCTGGTATAGTACAACTAGAAGGTAAAGCCCCGCATCGATAGACGACCAATGACATTCCTAGTCTAACTCCTAACTGGATAGTATCCCTCTATTGTGCTGTAGAAATATTCACACTCTCCCCTAACCTACAACCTTAATGCTCGACCTCCATAATTCCCTATCAAGGGCCATGTCCTCAGTAATCCTAAGTCGCGCCATGTCCTGTCTGATCACCTATCCCCAATACTTCTTAGGTCTTTCTCTACCTCTCCGCGTGCCCACTACAGTCAGTCGCTCACACCTCCTCACCGGTGCATCAGTG